ATCTCCTTTCTTACAGTGTCTGTCACTGGGGTTCTGCCCTGTGACTGACAGAGTAACTCCAGTGTCCACCTCCACTCCCGTTTGTGTCCCTACAGACAGATAAGACCATTTTGCTAACTTGGTTGTGACATGTGCATTAAAAATCTGGAATTAAATTCCATTTTAGATATATTTTGTGTTAACAGCTTGAATCTTCGTCTTCCAATTATATATTCCAATTTATAAAATTGCATAACAATGAATGATAAAGTATTTTGTCTCTTGATAACATAACTAATTTTTTTTAAAAAAAGCATAGTCCTTTCAGACAATAGCAACACTTCCAGATTCATAAAAAAGCCAAATTGCTCTATAAAGACATCTCTCTCAGTTGAACTGGTCCCTACCTGATGCATCATAATTTTTTTAAATTTTTGCCATTCTTTTCAAAATTCGGTACAACTCCCCTCTTCACATACGTTCCATTTGCTGTCACTAAGTCCATTAAATTTCTCCAAATTACAAACTATTAAAGCTGAGAACATTTATTTCTTCATGCTATTATTCCTATTTTTAGAAAAGCACACACAGGAGTGTCTTCTCTTAAATCAGAAACACCATTTCCTCACGTATATCCACACTATATAATTTAGTCTTCATATTAAAGAAAATACAAAAACAATTAAGCCTCCTGTAAGAGAGATGTTTAGTGCTATGTCAAGCCTCATATGGTGCGTATTTACAACATACATTAAGTGACTTTAATATTGTCATTAGAAAAGGAAGCTAAGGGACATTTCTTCCCTTCTTTACACAGAAAACAGTATATTACGTAAGTTCCTCGTTGTGTTTCACTCAAACATGTATAAAATCATTTGACTTCAATATAAATTTATATTAATCAACAAAACTGGAGTGTAAAACCCAAACTATCTTCTAAATGTTTCCTGCATAACATAAGCCAAGCTCAAAATAGGGTTAGAAAAATCTAATTCATGGTTGCACCTCAGGAATTATAAAAGTCTTTAAAAGTCACTGTGGGAACTGAGGAAAAAGCCAGGAGTGGGTGCAGGACCCACCCCCACACAGGCCAGGAATTACCACCTTCAAATGCAGCCCATTAGCCTGAATAATACAGAATAAAACTTTCCACACAGCACCACAGTCCTCCCTCTGTTCCTCGTTCGTGTGGGGTTACAACAGATATACCACACTACCTAACACTTAGAATGAAAACGGTAGTAGCGCTACACAGATTACCTAACATGCAATTAATTTAAAGCACCGGCCCCTATGTTGACCAGATAGAAAGGATTAAAAAAAGTCTATACATCCATCAGACTAAAGGCCAGCAGGCAGGGTCTGCGCTCAGCGAGTTTTGTACAGGTACAAGAAGCTCTTGTCTGCCTTGTGAGACCTGAGCAGGAGAGGGGAAGCACCTGGAGATGCTGCCACCGCACAGGTTTCCACAGCATCTCCCACTGCAACGCAGAAACGGTTGGTGAATGCTGCTACAATACCCAAGAAACACAGGCAGCAGTGGAAAACTGAAATTTCACTTTCAATAATCTAAAGTATGCTTACAGAGAGCTACGGCAGGCCAATCCAAGCTTGATCTGCCAGCGTTTCAAATCATCCAAGCATGTCCTCCCTTCTGTCCAAACGTCATTCAGACTAGAGCCACAGAGCACTACCTACAGGCTCACCCGGCCGGACCGTGAATTTATATATCTTTATGTTTCATATCTTTAAGATATCTTTTCTATTGCAACTTAGTAAAACCAACCAAACAAAATCCCCACATCCCTCACAGCTTTAAGAAACACAAGCAAAGCATAAGTTATAATACGTCTAGTTCTGGTTATTTATCATCATTCTAACTTTGACAAATTATACTCAAGCTGTTTTTTTAACAGCCAGCTCAGCCGACCTTATAAACTTGCATACGTACACCCTGTAAGTGTAAGTATTTATTAACCGTTATCTGATTGCAACTGATTGCAAACATTTGGTCGGACACTTGTGGTTATGACAAAAAAGAGCTGAAGATAAACATTGCTGTACTTAATGCTTTCCAAATGACTGATAACAAGATGCATTTCAAAGAGCTAATTTCTGGTCTGCTTAAAAATCAACTGCTGTGTTCAACTGGATTCAGGTTCTAAGGCATAGAAATGCTGTTCTACTTGCTGTTATCTTTAACAACGTATAGCAGGATTACAGAATGTAAACTGTAAGTCTTTACTCAGCGTTGGAAATTAAAAACAATAGATGCGGCTGGCCTGCATCCATGGGACGCAATTATATTTTAAATCTAGAATGCAAATGCAGTATCTCACACACCGATAAACAAAACCACTTGATTTCCCAGAGCTACATGCTCTGTTCTTCAGACTTCTGTTTTAATCAGACAAGGTAAACCATAACCATTATTAAGTCATTTAATTATGGTAAGGGATGCCACATTTTAGAGGAAAAACGTACATTCAGCGTAAATGGATATTGCATCCAGTTTTTAAAAGATCAGAAATGCCCGATTTAAATTTTTCCGAAAGAAAATGCACCTGAAAAACCTTGGAATGAGTTTTGAGATTTTGAAAATCTCAGGTCTGATAAATATAACCACCTCAGAGAAATTATTTTCTTCTTTAAAACATTTCTCTATGGATGAAAACCATGAATACCACAAACTTGTAGAAGTTTTACTTATCAGTTCCAAACACTCAAATAGGTTCAACATCACAATTTGGTATACCGAAATGACAATACAGAAACATTCACCTAATCAGACATTTGCTGGGAACCTCTCTCAGCCTTTTTTGGCATGTTAACCAAACCCTTGAAGTTATCATCATCTTCCTAGACCTGTCCCTTTACACCACCAACCTTGTGGAAGCAGTGATGTAGTGCAGTGAACTAATCCCAACCATCCTTTCATACCATGAACATTAGAGCAGAGCTGGAGGAAAGTGGAAGCTCTCCTGCTGGCTCCAGCTAAAGCTGCAGTTAGAAACCAGGTCAGGAGAGGAAAGTTTCCCCCGCAGACTAGCATGGAGCCAGTTTAAGTCAATCCCAAATTAAGCCATATACAAGATTTTAGATAAAGCTTATGCAACATCATTGGAAAAGACATATCAGTTATCCTCAGTAATTTCAGATGTGTGGAAAAGAGTTGTTCTAGACATCATTTTGCCCCAGGAATCTAGAAGGAAAGAAACAAAGAAACCCTCTCCAGCCATCAACCTAATAGTAAAGGGCTAGAAAATCTTATGCGATGTATGGCATAAGCTCAGATACAGCTGAACATAGTTGGGGGCATCTCTGGGGAGGAACTGGTAACACCGACTCCCACATTGCCTAGTCAACATGATGGAGGAGGGAGCGGTGATACTTACCATCTCTCCCAGGCTTGTTTGTCATGAGAAGGTGGATGGAGAAGATAACAGACAGGCAAAAATATCAGGCATACTGTCAGTTCTTTCCCCAAACTCACACAAACACCTGCACGCTCTGCAGGGCAGGGAAACATGTGTGCTTTGTGCAGGATTAGGCAGTCTGGCCATGCACAGGGCTCGGTACCCTGCAGCTGGCCATCTCCTCCTGCAGCCAAGAAAGACTTTTGCTGAGTTACTGCAGTTGTTCAATCACATTAACCACGCTGAGGGTAAAGCAATTCTTTTCCTGAAATCCCACTAAGATTATCACATTGCATTTAATTGCTTCCAAGGAACAGACAGCGAAAGTGAGTGAGTGAGAGAGAGAGTGAGCAAGGGAGGGGAGCAAGACAGTGGTGGTGGAGGGGAAAGAGAAAGAGAAAGCAAAAAAGGGAGAGGGAGAGATGCAGTTGTGGGAAACGAGCTGTATTCAGACTCAATCCACTAAAGCTTCAGAAGTATGAAATACACGTGGACAGTCGCTAAGGAAGTATCTACAGTGAAGCTCAGAATCTCTGCAATTTGATGCACCAATGTTTCCTCTTGTAATACACCATTGGCATTGCTTACCCCTTTGGCGAAAAGCAGCTGGACACTTTGCAAACTATGGAATAACCAACTGTGCAAAAATCTTTAAAAAGGAGGCGGAATTGATCTTTAAAATTCTGTAGTGCTTTGAAGATATCGTAGTGTCTCAGGTTTTTGAAATCAGTGTTTTACAGAGAATATAAAGAAGCGACCGTCTTAAGAAGGGCTCCTTTCCACTTAGTTTTTCCGCTAAACTTATCAACTGCTGCATTTAATTAATATGCAACTACAGCACTAAGTTCTTTGTTCTCTGTTGATCTGATAGTGTGCATTAATAATGATACAAAGTGGAGGTTCTACCTAGATATAAGGAAACAGTTTTTACGAGGAGGATAATTAGTAATTGAAGCAGACTGCACAGAGCAAGTTGTGGAATATCTGCTCCTGGCCATTTTCAAGACCTGATGGAGAAAGCCCTGAGCCACCTGCTCTGAACTCAGCATTGACCTTGCTTTGAGCAGCACGTTGGGCTAGACAACCTCCTTCCAACCGGAGCGATTCAATGGTTCTACGGTCTACTGTCAGATAAAAGGTATCAAATTCCACAACACCACCACAGAGAACCCCAGGAGTTTTCAAAATTAGCTTTTTTAAAAAAATAATATCCATCAGGAATTTTGTTCCAAGCACCAGGTTGTGTTATTTATGCACAGTGCCATTAAATGGTATGACTGAAAACCTTTTAATAAAGCCACATTTTTAATAAATTTATGAAGCATATGCAATAAAAGTTAGCAAAAGACAAAAAAAAAATCAAGTATCCACTTTTTGGAATATCCACTGTAAATAAACAATGGCTTTCCACTGAATTCTTTTAATAAATATCAGTAACAGCATAGTAATTTACAGGCAACATTAAACATGTTTCTTCATAACAGGTATTTCCGATTAACATCGAGTCCCTCCTTAAAAGCACTCATATTCATTAAAGCAGACGAACGCCCGCACAGATGCAGACAGCCATGCAGAAAGCACTTGGCAGGTGCAACACATCCTCACCTTCAGGTTGGGTTTTGAGAGGAGTTTCAAGAGTTCTCTGATCTCACTGCTCAGTGGCTTGCTCTGCAGCTCCTCAGCCAGCTGGGTGGGAGATGGAATCGACACAAAGACCATTAGCAAAGCATTGTTTCACCCAGCACATCAGTGACAACCCGGAATCTATCTTGTTCAAGGTTATTACTTTCCAGTGTGTTCAAACAGAAGCCAGCATGAAGAAAAACACCATCAATCACCGCGCTTCTTTTTCTGGCCCTCGGTGGACCAGACTTAAGCCAGGCCTTTTGGCTCAGTTTAACACAAGTAATCATTTCTGGCAAGGGTGCAGCCAGATCACATTCTGATTTATAGCAATGGGGGCAAATCCCAGCACTTCATTTAAGTGAATGGTCCTTTGCGTGCAGACAAAGGACTGCTTGTAAAAATGACTGGATCAAACTTTGACACTGTCTATAAAAAACAGTTTCGAATGAGGTGGTGAAATCCACACTGCTTCCAAAAACCCACAGTAGCTGTGCTGTTTAGGACTGGGATAAGAAAGCAAAGTGCCCCTACAGTGCAAGCAATCTGAACCTTTTATTATGTTTACACATACACTGGAAGGAGCTTGTTAAACATGAAGCGGGTTAATCATAATATAGTTTATAACAGGTCATCAGCAATTCAAACCCCTAAAATGCACAAACTATGTCCTAACAACAAGATCTGTAATTTATGTTTGGTTATACTACAAAATTGTGGTTTGGTGAACAATAGAGCAGCAGTCTAATGTTTAATCCCATGGCTGTTTGGCTCATGTCTTGAGTTTTTCTTATCATGACATTCTCAACTAATTTGGACTCAAGAGGCATATTTTACTGCAGGACTTCAGACTCAAACTGTTTTTCCAGAAGAAGGAAAAGCTAAAACATATTTCACAACACTGAACTTTAGTTTAAAATTCTGAAGCTACATGGCTCATAATCCAAAACGTGATTTCAGATAATCACTTATTTTCTTTGCATTAAATCAGTACCATAAAAACGTCTCAAAGAAAGACTGGTTATTTGCAGCAAGTAATTTTATTCATCTAGCCTAATTTTAAATTTGTACTTTCATATTGTATAAATTGTCAAGATAAATGGATAGAAGTATATTTTGCATAATTATATATAATAGACAATTCTAGAAGCAATTATAGACATCATACATGGTTTGAATACTTTTTTTTATAACCCTCAAATTAATACAGGGTAATGGGACTGAAACAAAAATCCATCACCTACAGTCCCACAGCCTTTTAACTATAACTCATAGATAAAAATGTCCATCAAATACATCAATGCTAATCTTAATGACATCTGTGTCTTAATACTGAAAGATTAGAAAACAATCTCTGCAGGAAAGGTCAGAAATGAAATATTTTAGGCACATAAAGCCAAGCATTGAGGTAATCTGACTGCAATCTAGTCTGCATGTTCTACGGAAAAGCTCTACAAAGCTGAAAATAATCCGTGATAGGAATGACAGCAGGTATGACACAGGTTCCCCTTGGTTCATTCTTTAGCTTGTACTACTCATCACTAGAGCATAACATCAATTCATTCGTGTCTCATTGATGAAAACTAGTAATCACTCAGTAAGAATGACTGCTTCGGCATTTCTCTCTCAGACGAATTGTGCACAAGCATCTGTTAAGTTCAGCAGAACTGGCGTTTGCTTTGGTGGTGCAAATAAGGTATATAAGGTTTAGCACAGTGAGAAACAGAAAGAATATTTTGTTATTGCTTTAACAGACGTTTCAGTCTCATAATTTAGAAAATATCTGTTCAGAGATGAAATAATTAAAAATTTGTTTTCACTCATATAATTTACAAGGTTTTTCCAAATATTTCCATAAAGGTCTTAAAGGCACATGTCACACCCCATGATAGAAGAGGAAGACAAAGATTGACAGAGAAGGAAGAACACAAAGCCATGTTTCCAGATAAGCAAACAGTTATCACTAGAGCTAATTCTTGTGCTTCTAGCAGTTTTGGACTGGATTTTTATTTGTTGTTGTTGTTGAAGTACTGAGATTTGTGACAGTTACCAGCAGCAGTATAAACTATATGGAACACTTTGGGCATACTGAAACTGTGCCGATCACTTCCTATGCCAAAGACTGCAGGAAAATCTGGCTGAGAACCTCTTCTATAATTCTCTGTTGAGGGAACCATAACATTTCACCAAGGTCTTTATGAAGAGCTGCCACTATAGAGAAGAGAAAACAAAGCATGGGAGAAGGGCAGATGCGGAGTGAGGCTGGCGAGATGAGGAGCACCGGGGCCTGGGGGTGTAAAGCATCCGGAGAAAGTTCTGAAACTTCTTTTGCCAGAACAGTCTTTCTAATAAACTAGTGGCCTTATTTGCCATATATACCTATGCTGCCAGCAATTATTAGAACATTTGCATGGAATCAAGAGTCCTACGTCAGACACTGCTGCTCCAAAACAAAAGGCAAACAGAACCTCTGCTGGGAAATTCAGCCTAAAAGTCACTGGAGGTGAGGAGAGAGAAAGCATGGCAGTTAGGAATATGAAAATGTTTAGAAAAGCAGGCTCACCACAGTTGTTACCTCTGAAATCACTTTATAAAATAACACAAGAATAAAACACACCCCTTGAAAAGTTTTTAGTTAGCAGCACCTGAAATTTGCATTTTTAATCAAACAGGAAATATGCACTTGTTAATAAGAGTATCTCCTTCTTTGTTTAACTATAGAACAGCTACTATCACTAGGAAAACAAAACATTAATTCAAAGCCTATTAAAATACAAGTGTGTTTTATGTCACTAATGTGCTCTTAAATCCCTGGAGCTGACAACTAGTTAGAGAAATGTGCCAAAAATTGAATAGCACTTTAATCCTGGAATTTCATGGGTTTGGGAGTTACAACACCCACTGCATGTAAATTAACTTCCTCAAAGTTTGCTGATAACTACTGAAACACAGAAAATGCTGCAGCGTCCTAGCCTGACTTCAGCTGCCAAAGGACATCCTCATTCTATGGGATGGTGCCCATAAAACAAGCTGTTCAGCTACACACAGGCAGAAATGAAGAACCAGCAAGAGGATCTTTAAAAAGAAGCTAAGCTTAAAAAGTAGGCAGATGTCTAGAGACACTCATGCCCCAACATACGTACGTTTTAAAAATACTACCATATATACATAATAATACATTCATAGGGTTAAAAAACCTGACCTCTCTCAACTGAGGAGTGACAGAGTACTTTAATTTGGGGATTTCCAAAAGTATACATTTTAAATGGGGCTGAACAAAGAATGAGATTGCTCAGCATTTCTGAAAATATCAAGAACTAAGTTTTGCATCCAAAAATAAGAAATGATTCTTATTAAGAATTTTAGCCCAGAGATCCGTAACACAAATTTTAACAAGGATTATTAATATGTCACCAAGAACTTAATGAAGAGAATTTCAACCAGCTTTCTAATTTTAAAAATTACTATCAACATTATTCAAAGCTACTTGAAGGTTAAAAAAATATTACTAATATATGCCTGATGTCAAAGCTAATGCATTATTATATTGGGTATGTTACATGATATATCTCTAGTCCTACTGAAACATGATGAATTACATTATATCCTTTTTCAATAGAATTCAAAAATGTTTAATTTAGTTTTTCATTAAAATGCTACCATTCTCAATTCACAACATTTAACCACTTGTAAAATTTAAAAACCAAAAGCTAATAATGATATAAAAAGACAGTTAAGATTTTAAAACATCTGTAAAGTATGTGAAGTTTCAAACATGTCAGATTTGAAACTGATCCTAATACATACTGCCTTTTCCAAAAAACAACCTGAGATCATCAATTGCAACAAAGATTTCTGGATTTCACCTAAACCATAGTTTATTAAACATTTCTCTATCCTGGCCTGCCTCAGGTTCAGTCATAGTTTACACAGGTGTGTGCACAATTCATCTGAATCCTAGAATTAACCAAATAGCAAGAAATGGCAGGTTGGATTTTTTTCTTTAAAATAAAAATTATAGTAACAGGAAATTAACTACTCCATCAATGCCGACCACTTTTACAATTTATTTTTTGGTTATGAAGGTAATTTGGAGAGCTCCAATATCAATAAATCACTACTGTACTTTTTCTTAAATAGTTCTTGATTTTTTTTAACAAGCCTCCTTCCTAGGCATTTCATATGTTTTATTTCTGTAGTATTATCTGTCATTTTTCATGTTCTGTCAGCAATGCTGCTCTCTCATTTGTCTTTATTTTTCCAAAGCATTCCTCTTGTCTGTGACTTTCTCAAAACACTAATAGTTGACAGCTTTTCCCCTCCCAGTAGAGTTCCAACCTGTAATTTCTATTACGTAGTTACTAAAGCAGAACAAGAGGCTATCTAGATGCAATGTTTTTATAACAGGCAAGTGAATAAAAATCAAAGTAATATCAGCAATGAGCCCAGTGATGACAGCACCTTTGGAAACATTTGCAGCTTCTTATGATTTCAGCTCAGAGGATTACATTCATATGTTTGCACTATGAGGAGTTCTGCTTGCAGACAGTTTTTTGGGAGACTTGGTACCAGTGATCTCAGCAGGGGACACTTACATCATCTGCCAAGGCTGCTGCACCATGGAGTATGGGCACTGGATTCTGTTTTTCATAATAATGCAGTTTTTCATGAATCTGGAAGACAATAGCACAAAACAGTAAGTATATTTAGCAGCACGAGAAATGGTACAAAATGACTCTGTTGAGCTAACTGATCTGTTGAGTGTCTGTAACTAAAGAAACATCCTTATAGTAACCCACAGGCAGCAATCATGTAAATGTAATTCATCATCATCCTCTGTTGAAGTGCTAAGAATATGAAATCAGATGGAAAAAATGCTCAGTATGTAGACCAACCCACAGAAAAACTAAACATTTGTGATTTCTCTCTCCTGGCTTTCTGCGTCCATATTTCTAACATATTGCTTTAAGTATCAATTACATTTTATATTGCTGCTGAAAACACAAAGCATAAAGTGTTTATCCCCAAGATGGATATAAAAAACCCTGTAAATTATGATTTATGAAGTGAAATAATAGCCTGCCACCCACATCTTGACAGACAGCTTCGTGGAGCGGCTGCCGTCATTAAAATAATTCAGAAACAAGGGCAAAGTAGTGCTAGTATGAATTCTAGCACATCTGAAAGAAAAAGGCAGTCCTTCAGCAAGTTAAAGTCATTTAGGAGCATTTAAAGTTTTTAATGGGGAGTTATCAACATTAAAAATGCAGTGTGCTTTGGTTCTTTCAAAAGGGGAAAGGATACACCATCATTTAAATACCCAGCCTCTTCCCTCCTCCACAAGTCATGCATTTCAAAATTTAGATTTTTCCTGTGTGAAAGCTTAAAAGAGCCAAAATATTTTACAGCTTCTAATAAGTTTCTTAAAAGTTATTTCAGAATGGCATAAAATAATATATTAAACATTCAATTTTATTTACGTTATTTTCCTGAAGATATGCAGATGTACAAATATTGATTAAAATTTTTGAAAATACAACAACAGTAGTCTGAACTGATGCAAACACACCCCGTTCTTAGATTTCTACTTTAGTCTCGCTGCTCTGAAGGAGGCACGGACTCCAGATGGTTGGGGGAGTTGCAGAAGAAGCTAAATCTGGGACTTCCGTGCTTGGCAAGGAGGGGAACACGAGGTCTGGCAGAGGCCGCAGGGCTCAGGACTTGGCTGGGGAGCCCATCACATCCTTGGGGTAGGGGAACCCCAAGGATACCCTACCCTTCCCCAGCAAGCTGCTGGGGGAGGAAAGGGACAGACTCCAGCCTGCAAGGACAGCTGTAAAGAGCAACCAAACCAGTGGTCTTTGCACACTGAAAATACTCAGAGTTGACAGGATCGTATCTGCTACGCACCAGCTGTTTCCTCCGGCCTCCCCTCCTCATCCACATTTGCTTTTCTCTTCTTACTTTTACCCCCAGCAGCACTCACCCTCTCACTGTCCAGGACTCCCTCAATCTTCTCCCCAGCCCTTTCTTTTGAATTTAATCTGAACTCTTAATAACCGCACCCATAACAAGATAATGTCACGTCAATGACACTTGTGCTTGCCATTTTTCCTGTCTTCTACCGCGCTTCCTAACACTTCCTAAGTCCGGTCTCTGTTTACTCATTTAGACTATAGTTTCTTTGAAGTAAAGGCCATATGATGCTCTGTTAATGTAACATGGCATAGCAAGATCTAATTCTTGGTCGATTCCTTCATCATTTCTGTAATCTTAATAAGACTATTTCTGTACGTGGCTTGTTACAGGCTATCGAAGTTCTGAAATGTCAAAGTGAAGTGTGAGAACAACACAGTTGCTAAGTTCTAAAATCATTTGTTCTGAACAGCAAGTATTTGTACCTCATCTGGGAAGTAAATGCAAAGCACTATTACCTCCAGAACATGAGTCTGAATTTTACATAGCTTATATAGACATTGTTTACTCAGCAAAGTAAGACTAATTCATATTGGATGTCACCAAAAGTCTAAGTGACTGGAAAACCTCATATTTCTAGCTCACAAAGCACAGAAACTAAACAAAACAAGGAGCTGCAGCTCCCGGAGTTTAGCAGAAATTTGTGATTTACTTAGACTGTGAGCTTGAATAACTAAAAGGCGTAATAAATCAAAAAGTCTCAAATCCATCATTTTTTTGATTGCTTCAGCCAACATCTTGATTTTATCCAGGCTGAGCTTCCATCAACTCTGAGGTTAAAAGCAGTCGTCTATGCTACCTTCTAGTGTCTCAAAGAAAATAGAAGTGCCACTGCTGATGAAGCTGTTTTTACCCTGGACAACCCACAGGTGTCTTTACTAGTGAAATTAGGGGGGCGGGGGGAGAAAAAAAAAGGATGGAGAAAAAAAAAATCCCCCAAAACAACAACAAAAACAAATGTAGAGACATTCTCATGCAAGTCATCTTTTAAAATGTTATAAAATTGTAAATTCATGCAACAAAAAAACAGGGGGTTAAGAGGAGGTACTGTGTATCTTTAACAAGTTACTTGCTCTGCCTATAACCAGCAAATGGCTGAAAACAAATTTTTATTTTTGTAACAGTGGATATCAGAATTCAGCTGAGCTTTTAAGGAAAGCCATTAGGATTTTATTTGATTATGGAAGAGTAGTAGAGATTAGCTGACAAATCAAACCTAGAGCAAACAACAGGAGCTAATCAAGTAAATAGGAAAACTTAACTATTATTGCTAGACAGTTCTAGATATTAGGCTTACTGCATCAAGCTGGAAGTTTTATTAATTTACTATACTGGCACAATGTGTGACTCCAGGGATAAACATTACATGTTCTATGGTAACAGACACTGCAACATCAGCGCACTTCCACTCCAGATGCAATACAGGTGTTTGTTGATTTGAGGTTTGTTTGTTGTTGTTTTTTTTTTCCAAAAACATCTGATTAAATAGGTAGTATTTTGCCCTGTTTGCTAAATGAATCTGGGTTTTTTAATCAGATATTTATACAGCAATATCTGTCTTCCATCTCTTTGTAATTTAAAGGAGTTACCTAAGAAAATTAAAGAAGGACTGGTCTCTGCACAAAGCTGCAATCAATGCAAAACACGAGGATTACCTTTCATATCAGCATAAAATTATCATACATTTCATAAAAATGCTACTTCCTACAGCTCTCCTATAGCTGCTGCGTACCTCTAACTTTTGCATCACTAACGTATTCATAATGTATGCTGCACTTTATATATAATAGCTTCCTGAATGCAGTAAAATAGGAGATTTGATGCAATTCAACTGACAAAGCAAACATTTCAGTGAGGCAAAAACCACATTTTCAGGAAACAACTTCTCTCCATGTGTCTAAAAATGTGTTCCAAGATGTTTTGGTCTGTAACTTTCCTTCAGACCACAGTAAGGCTGACTGGCCTCTAGTTCCTCAAATAGTACTTTTGGCCTTTTTTTAAGATAGGTACAGCACTTGCCTCTTCCAAGTCACTGGGGATTAGGTCATCTCTGTTGCCTTTCAAGGATGACAGAGCATACTTGCAAACTTACCTGGTGGCCTCTGAATTTGTTAGAGTTCAGAGTGATGAACGACCGCATTTACGATTGCCACCTTTAGAAAAACTACTGTGCACATGGCCAAACATTTTGGCAACTTCTCCACATACTGTCTTTAAGCTGATTATTTTCCCATATCTGAAATTTGAAAATCATGCTAATATATGCACAACTAGCATTATATTTCCAAAATTCGACTCTTACACAAGTAGAATTCGAAATTTAAATATCTGGATTAAGTGACCACATTGATGAAAATGAAGACAGCGCAAGCCAGGCAAACACAGAAATGAAAAAGAAAACAAGGCAAGCTGGTGCAAGTAATTTGCCCCTTTGCAAATCTCTCTCAATGAAATTAAACTGCAACAGACTTTAAAAACATCCTGAAACACTTCGAGAGAAGTATGAGAATGGATTCAAAAGAGTAGGAGAGAGAGCCTTTATCTATTCAAGATAAAACTTTTCATATTTACAACGATTTAATTGAACTTCATTCGAAAGAATTTTATTTGATACAAAAAGGCAAATTTATCTCGTATTCTGTGGCTATACCCAATGTCCAGCAACTTTCATACTATTGCCTTCTCTCTAATAGGAACCTACGGAGCATATGAGAGTATGGGACCGTAAAATGCTTAAAAAATAGAACAGATGTACTATATTTTCTAAGTTCTTCTGACATTTAAGTGTAAAGCTTGAACCCTGAAAATCTCTTCACAGATGAGACTGAGCAAGAGTTATGTATTGTAAATAAAATATATAAAGATGTTCTGCTGAACAGATGACTAAGTTGCTGGGTTTTTTTTTTTTGTTTTTTGTTTTTTTTTATGACTACCTACCCTTTTCACTGTAGGGCACTTTGTGTAGACTTACAAAGTTCTGCGAAACTGAGAATCTACTATGAAGATATGCCCCAAGAGGGAAAAATAATCTTTTGCAAATTTATACAATTTTTGGCACATTTGTAGGCAAGGGAAATTAGTTTTGGATTTTCCCAGAGAAATTGAATTAAGCTTTCTGTAACAAAGTATAGCCAAAATACATTTTCTGCAGTGTCCCCAGCCTGGACTATTTTAAACCCCACAGGATGCTTTCTGAGTCAGAAAAACAAAAATCTTAAGCAAAAATCCTACAAAATAAGCTTAATTCCTCCTTTTAGATTTCTTAATTTCCAGGTACAGTTCTGATATCATATGGCTGAAAACAACACATGGGAGAGGGATAAGCATGTACACAGAATAATATCACCAGTTTACAATACCTCAGCTCCTTCTGGGAAGGAATCCCCTTAATAGAAGAATAATTTTATTAGTATCTAGTGGGCTCTGGTACAGCTGTGTAAGCAGGACTTTCCTGAAAGGCTCTACAGAACAATAATGCTACACACCTACAAACTACATACTCAGCTTCAGAACGGGTAGCTTGTATCTGTATTACAGTCCAAGATTAGCAATCTTTTAGAGAGGTCTCCATGTATTAAGTTTCTGGAAAATTTAAAATGGAGGTCCAAAATGAACTATTTTCATTGTAAGATGATGCCACCCAAGAAATGAAATATGTCAGACACGTTATCTCCTTTTGCTGATCTTGAAGACATAA